CAGGGAGCCCGATGCGGGACTCTATCCTGGGACTCCAGGATCATGACCTGAGCCGAAGGCAGTCGCTTAACCAACTGAGCCACCCAGGCGCCCCTGTTTTGTTTTTTTTAAGATTTTATTTTTTAAGGCCTCTCTACCTCCCAACATGGGACTCGAACTCACAGCCCCGAGATCAAGAGCCGCACGCTCCACCAACTGAGCCGGCCGGGCGCCCCGGGAGAGGGCAGATGCCCTTTAGCCCGAGCGTTTAGTGTTTGAGGACAGGCCACAAATCAGGATTTGGAGGGCACAATCTGACGGTTAAATGCATGCGATGAAGCAAAACATTCTAAAGGCGCTGCCTAGGCCAGTTTGAGGCCAGCGCCCTCAAGTCTCTAAGCCCTGTAGACTCTTAGGGTCTGCGTGTCTGATTTCTAGCAGGATGTGGGTCGGGGGGCCGTGGACATGGACGGGGACATCAGGCCTGGGCTCCAGCTTGGTGTTTCCTGATGAACTGCTAGGTGGCCCTGCCCAAGTCCCGGACTTCTCTGATCCGTCACCTCCAGGGGTGCGGACTGGGCAGAAGGACTCAGGGGCAGGGCAGGGCGGGAGGGTGCCGGCCTCACCGAGCTCGTCCTCGGTCATGGGCAGGAAGTGGTCCACCAGCTCCTCTGACTTGCCCAGCACGACATCCACAGCGTGGCTCATGGACCTCTTCAGGTCCACGCTCCAGTGGCAGCTCTGGCCGGCCAGGCCCACCACGTCCATCACACCACTGGCCACCGTATCCTTGGCCGAGGTCACCACCTGGTGGGAGGGGGCCCCTTCCAGATTTTGACATCCCTTCTCTCACCCCAGCTCCCGGGGGCTGGGTGTCAAGGGGTCCCCTCCTGGCTCTGGGCCTCAATTTCCCCTCTATAAAATGGAGGAAAAGAAAAGTTCTCCCCCAAAGGGTTGTTGAGCGGATGATGGGCCCCAACCGGTGCAACTTAAGCGCTCGATAAACTCGGGTGCTGATTATTTTAATTTGGCTGGTGTTTTCTGAGTTGGGCCGAAACCTGACTCAGCGCCCCCACCCCTGGTCTGGTTGGTCCAGGAGTCCAGGCTGGTCCGGGGGAGGCTGCGCCGCTCCCTCCCACCTCCACCCCTCCCTGGGTCCCCAGGGTACCGTGTCCGAAGGTTGCTGGAGAAAAGGCAGCTTCTCCTCCAGCTTGTCCAGGCCCCTGCAGGCGAGATTGTTCACTGTGGCCACTGGAGGGGAGAGGCAGGGAGTGAGGGCAAGAGAGGTAGGGAGAGGTAGACGGAGGCCTGGGCCACCCTGCGAGGGGCTGGGGGCCCTGAGGGTGTGGGTGGGGCACGAGGCTGGACCCCACCTCCACTGCCCTCCCTGCCTCAGCCCTGCCATAGGGCTGCCGCCAGCGCCAAGGTGACTCCTCGCTCATGCCGGCTCGGACACCCCAGCGAGCAGGCTCAAGGTCACCCAAACTGGCTGAGGAGGAGGCGGGGGAGGCCCTGAGCTGGGAATCTCAGGTGACCCCCTTCCTCGGTCAGACGTGAAGCCAAGGGTCTTTCCGCTCCCCCCATCCCTGTGCCAGGTTGGACCCCTCAGCTGGTCCCAGGAGTGCGGGGACATGTGGGGCTCGGGACATGTGGGGGCAACGACAGAGAGGTAGACGGGGAGGGAGGTGGAGAGGCAGAGGAACCTGAGGTATGTCAGGCCACTCAACAAGGGAGGACATCCAGATGCACAGAACGGGGACAGAAAGAGGGGGGCCCCAGGTAAACAGCTAAGGGCGTTGGTCCAGGAGATCCAACCACAGAGGGATGCAGGTAGAATGGGGAGCGGGGGCCGGGCAGGCAGAGAACGGGAGATGGCGCTGGCAGGACTGGGGGAGGGTGAGACAGGTGGATGGGGGTACAGGCGGGTGGACGGACAAACGGCATACACGATAGGTAAGACTGAGGAGGTCCCGACTCAGCAGGTCCACTCCAGAGCATGTCAGGCGGAGGCATGCATGTCATCCAGAGCATGGAGGGCGGGCCAGCGGGGCAAACCACAGGACCCAGGGTCGTGGGCTGGGTTGGGGGACTCACGCTGGGGCTGCAGGTGGCTGAGCAGCGGCTGGGCGTGGTCCAGGGCGCGGGTGGTCAGGCCACACACGCAGTGCTCAGCCAGGCGGCAGGCGGAGCCCAGCAGCGGGTGCCTGTCCTTAGCCGCACTGTAAGCATCGAGGACAGCGGTGCACGTGGTCCTGACCAGCGGCAGGGCCACCACGCGCTGCACCACGTTCTGCGGGAAGAGGCGGCATCAGAGTGGCCCCTGGGGGGCTGGGGGTGGGGATCTCAGCCACACCTCAGTCCACTTGCCCTCTCTGGGCCAGGATGACGGGGTGGGCAAGAGGGTTGGGGGGACTGCACACGTAACTTGGGCCTTCAGCCTCCCCATCTGTAAAATGGAATTCTAGGGCTGGAGATTCACGGAGGCAACGGGCGTGAAGTGCTGGGAGCGGGGTCTGATGCAGAGTCTCCGGCAGAGACCCGGACGTTGGGGGCGGGGGAGAGACGCTCCCTGCCCCGGGCATCACTGTGCCCCTCTGGGAAATGGGGAAGATGTGCCACGCGTGGTCCAGCAAGGATAGGAAGGAGAGGGGGTACCTTCTGAAACTGTCCCAGAAGGGATATCCCCCCACCCCCGCCTGTGCCCCTGCTCCGTGGGAGGGGCGGCCCCTCACCTGCTGGTTCTGTTCCCACGAGCTGGTTCTGGGCGGCTGAGCAGCCTCATCTTCTGACATGCCTGCTGCAAACACCCTGAGGGGCAGGACAGAGTGAGAGGGGCCTCTACACACCAGCCCTCCTGGGGCCTGCCCAGGCCTTGGGTTCTGTCCCTCTGGGCTTTGTGACTTGGGCAAGTACTGTTCTCTCTTGGGGCCTCGGTTTCCTCAAAATAGGGTAATGATAGGGGTGCCTGGGTGGTTCAGTCGGTTGAGAATCTGACTCCTGGTTTCAGCTCAGGCCATGATCTTAGGGTCGTGAGGCCTGTGTTGGGCTGTGCGCTCAGCAGGGTGTCTGCTTGAGATTTTTCTCCCCCTCCCTCTGCCCCTCCCCCACTTGCACACGCGCACTCTCCCTCTCAAATAAATAAGTAAATCTTAAAAACGTAAGGTAATGATAATACCTACCTCACAGTGTCCTGAGGGACACGGACAATGCATGCACAGAGCTCTGCACACAGTAGGTGCACACTAGAGAGCTCTGGCAAGGTGGGGACATTGTAGTGATTCAAACATGGGCTCTGGAGAGAGAAAGACCTGGGTTCAAATCCTACCATTACCTGCTGGGTGACTTTGGGCAAGTGCCTTCACCTCTCTGAGCTGTTTCCTCTTCTGCAAAGGAGAGGAGGTCCCTGCTGCCCCTGCCCACCCCCCAACTCACCCTTCCCCGACAGAACTGCACACGCAGCCCGCTGCAGGGGTGGAGGTGGTAGCCGCGGAATCCCAATAAACCCACAGACTGACAGGGAAACTGAGGCGGCCAGCAGGTCCATGGTGTTTCCAAGGCCACTCATCTAAGCAGACCCAGAGTGGAGAGTTCGACCTGAGACTCCCGCTCGCAGTTCTTCCCTATCCCCACCCTGTGCCCTCAGAGCTCTGGTCCCCGCCCAACTGGGTCCTGAGCTTCAGCCAACTGGGCCAAGGGTCTCGGCCACCTGCTCGGGGCCAGTCATCCCCCTCCCATCTCACGCCGCTGGATCCTCTCCCGCCCACCTGATCTGGAGCCCCCAAATCTGCGGGGCTCTCCTGGACGCCCTCCGCTTGGCACTCACCTGGGCGCGCGCAGCCACGGCCCCCAAGTGCGGCTGCGGACCCCAGACTCGGGCTCCAGTCTCCGCCCACCGCTGGCCCCGCCCGCCTTATAGCGGCTCGGGGGGGCGGGGCCTTCGGGGACTGACCAATGGGGAGGGGCCGTGCGGAGGCGTGTCCCGGGGCCGGGGCCCCAGCCTACCCTCCCCACCCCGCGCGCTTCCCTGGGGCTCGGGGTGGGGGTGGGGTGAGGGCTCCGCGGTTGTCATAGTAACTCGAGGACGCTGGATACCCCAGGATTGAGCTACTTCCGTTGGCCAGTTTTGGCCACCCGTCACCCTGCTGTTGCCGCCGAAACAGTGGAGGACGATCACAGCCCCCACCGCCTCGGCGAGGAGTGACCTTGGGCAAGTCCTCAAGGTCTTTCTTGTTATTTAAAAAAATCTGCCATGGGCGCCTGGGTGGTTCAGTTGGTTAAGCGACTGCCTTCGGCTCAGGTCGTGATCCTGGAGTACCAGGATCGAGTCCCACAGCGGGCTCCCTGCTCAGCGAGGCGTCTGCTTCTCCCTCTGACCCTCCCCCCTCTCATGCTCTCTCTATCTCATTCTCTCTCTCAAATAAATAAATAAAATCTTAAAAAATAAAATAAAATAATAAAAATTTAAAAATCTGCCATTAAACTGAGCCAGGATTCAGGCCGGCTCATTCCCTTGGATCCCCATTTTACAGATGAGCAAATTGAGGGATCCGATTCAAACCCGGCTCTGCCAGACTCCAGGCCCCTCCCTGGCTTTCATCGTCATTCCTGGAATGACCACCAACGTGGGCATGACCATTCTTCCAGGGAGCCTTCCCCCAAACACCCAGGGGTCCCCCAAATCTGACTCTGGCTCCCAGCATGCCCAGCACTGTGTCAGCAGGTGGCCCAAGGTTCTGAGTTGGAAGAACCCAGGCTCCTAAGCCTTCGGCTCCACCCAGCCTGCCCGGGCCTGCCCTGGGTGGCTATGCCCCTGGGTTGTCACGGGCCAGCATGACAAATTGTTTGGAGACCTGAGGCAATCCGGTTTAATTTAAACCTTCCCCAGGACATAAACTCTGGCAGGAATCCACCGGTAAAATGACACTCCGGGCAACGGTCAGTGTTTTATTTCCAGTTAAGTCCTGGATAGGGGGAGAGGGAGGAGGAGCCGCGGGCCATCAGATCCCCACTGCCATTCCTTTGGAAGCTCATGTCCTGCACCCCAGGCCCTGGGTCAGGCCTCTTCTTTCCTTCTCCTTCCTCTGGGGAGGACTAGGAAGTCAACCAGGGAGATGCTCAGAACACAGTGAATTATTCTAGTATTCCAATTCCATTCCACAGTTATTTATTAACCCTTCGGGTCTGACCACAAACTGAACGATGCTGGCTACGAGGGAACCCAGCCCCAGGCCCTGCATTCGGAGAGCCCCCCGAAGTGGGGGAGGCAGAACCAGATAGAGACAACCCTAGTGTAGCCAGGGCTGGGCCAGAGGGAGGCCGAGCAGGCTGAGGGAGCCTGGAGACCAAGAGATCTGGAAAACAGGGCAAGACATTCTCTTTTCTTTTTTCTTTTAAGTAGGCTCCATGCCTAATGTGGGGCTTGAACTCAGGACCCTGAGATTAAGAGTCGCATGCTCCACCGACCGAGCCAGCCAACTGCCCCCAGGGAAAGACGTTCTTGGAAGAGGGTACAAGGAGGCTGGAGAGCCCAGTGTGCATTTTGGGAAGCCTGGGCCAAGCGGATCCTGGCAGCTCTGGAAAGCCAAAGGTGAATTATTTGCCAAGTACCGTGCCGTGTGCTGCCTGGCCTGTCTCCCCACCCTAGCCCCAGGCCTCAGTGGGACTCGGCTGCTTCCAGGAGCGTCTGGCCCTTTGAGGCTTCGGGCCCAGCGCAGCGTGTGGCATTCTGGAAGAACATCTTGTCTTTATTGGCCACGAGCCACCCATAGAGGTCATCCAGGTTCCGATCACAGATCCAGGGGTTCCCAGAGATGTCAAAGCCATCCTTCATGTCCCGGGTGGGCTGCCCCAAGGATGTCCAGAGCCCCTTGGGCACGCTGGTGAGCAAGTTGTTGGAGAGATCGAGCATGTCCAGCTGCTGCAGGCCTCGGAGGGCGCCGGCTGCCACCATGGCCAGCCTGTTGTCGTTCAGGAAAAGGTAGTGCAGGTCTGGCTGGGGTGCCAAGAGCCCCTCTCCAAGCACCCGCAATCTGTTGCCCTCCAGATGCAGCCTTTCCAACTGCAGGGGGCCCCTCAGAAGGTCAGAGGGCAAAGTCTTCAACTGGTTATTGCTGAGGTCAAGGATGCGCAGGGAGGTGAAGTTGGCCAACAGCCCAGGGGGCAGTGTCTGGAGGTGGTTCCCGGATAGGTCCAGATGCCCCAGGGCTTTGAGCCCCTGCAGCCACGAGGGCTCCAGGATTTCCAGCCGGTTCTCCTTCAGCACCAGGGTGTGGAGAGCGGCCGAGACTCGGAAGAGGCCTGGGGGCAGCTGGGTCAGGGCATTGCGGGTTAGGTCGAGCACCTTCAGCAGAGGCACCGTCAGCAGGAGCTTGGGCGAGAGGCTCTCCAGCTGGTTGGTGGAGAGGTGCAGCTCCTGGAGGTTAGAGGTGCCCTGGAGGGTGTCGGCCCGCAGCTGGGTGAGGTTGAAGAACTCCACCGCCAGGTAGACGGTGTCAGCTGGGAAGCGGTGAGGGAGTTTGGCAGGTGGGTGGCAGGAGACGGAGCTGCCGTTGCTCGACTGGAACACCAAGCAGGTGTCACGGTTTGGGGTGACATCCTGGGCTGAGGCCACAGATAGCAGCAGCAGGAACAGTGTTCTAGAAAGATGGGAGCTCAGGCCTCCTGGGCTGCAGGCAATGACAGAAAATACACCTCACTTGGTGAAAGTGTCCCCAGACTCTGCCAACTATTTCTTGTCTCCATTTCCAGCACCCTGGACCATGCCAGCTCATGGCTCCCCCGGACTCGTGCAGTCATCCCCTGCTCCTCTCCTGGCTTCCACCCTCACCTTCCCACAGCTTCCCGAAGTAGCTGCTGTTACAGAAAGCTCTGAAAACTGAGTTTCTCAGTCTGATCCATAAATGCTACCCTTCTTCATGGCCAGCCCAGCCCCAATGGACTGTTAATTATTTACAGTCAAATTTGCTAATTTCTCTCTAGTTTCTTCTGTTCTAGCTTGTTTTCTGGGTCATTTCTTATCTCCCTGGCTCCACATTTTGAAGGCAGGGCCAGTGAACTCCTACTTATCCTGCAAAGCCCCAGCCCCAATGCTCCCTTTCCCATGAAGCTCCCTCTGACTTCCCCAAGGTTTCCCCTCTGGCCTCCTCCTTTTTCCATCCAAACAAGGTTACATTTCTTTCTCTGATGGAGCTGCAGCTCCATCTCGCTCCGAAGTGCTCGGGTGCAATCTAGGGCTCCAAAAGGAACTCTGAACATGAAAACTCCATCCTGCTTTGTGCAGATCTGGGACAGGCATTTGGCCTTGGGATGGGGTGGTATACAGTTGGCACCATACACCTTGGAGGGCTGGGGCTTCTGCTCCTCCTGGTCCCTCCAGCAGCCCTCTGATGGGGTGTTGGTCGGGAGGTGTTGGTGGGACTCCAACTCTCTGTCTGGCCCGGGGAGCACCTGGGACTTCTATAGTGAGTGTGTGTATGAGAGCATGTCTATCTATAGTTACAGCCTGTCGGTCTATTCCAGCCTGCAGATCTACATCTAGCCCTTTGACTTCAGTGCATCAGACAGAAATGTCTAGCATCCAGTTCTGCCTACCAATGGGTGGGGTGGGGACTTACCTCTGGTTTCGCTCTGGGCTCCAAGAGGACATGATGGTCTCTCTCTTTTCCATCTGTGTTCCCTTAGCCTGGTCAGGTAGGCTTATACCTGCCTGGACTGGGAGCAGGGCCACCCACCCTAGGGAAGTCCTCACCCACATCCTGTTCCCGTTAATGGCTGGACCTGAGCCAGGCAGGGGAAAGGGAGTGGTCAGAATTGCAAAATTGCTTCCTGGCAGGGAAAGGGCAGGAGGGGGGTTGCCTGCTCCCTTCTCTTCCTGCTTCTACCCACTTTTTCATTCCGCTGATTCCTGCTTTTGGGGGGTGGGCACCCAAGAATCTCTGGGGCCGAATCCCTGCTTCCCCCAATCCGGGGATCAAGGGTCAGGTTTGCAAGGCACTATTCCTGGGGGATAGGGACAGCTCTTTAAGCAAGAGATACTCTTTGCAATAAATTTGAGCAACCAGGAAGCTCAATGAAGATAACAAAAAGCACTTGTCTTGAATTCATGATGTATTGTTGGCCTTTTTGAAAAAATGAAATAATTTCTAGAAATTAGATTTCAAAAGTAAGCGATGCCAAAAGTCTCCATGGTCTTTGAACAATGGCCTGGGAGGGACAAAACCTGGCCCTGGCTCCCAGCTCTGCTAGGAATGGCTTTATTTTATGATCTTGGGCAAGTGGCTTAACTTTTCTTGGCCTCAGTTTCCATATCCATGAAGTTGAACTCAGTCTCCAAGGGTCCCTTCTGCTCTTTGTTTCTTCATCTGAAGCTAATGTGCTGTTTGTTTTGGATCTTTCTCATTCTCTAATAAATGCATTCGGAGGCTACAAATTTCCCTTTGAGAACTGCTTTGGCTGCATCTCACAGATTTGACTATTCAGTGCTTTCATTTTTGTTGCATTCTAAAAATTCAGGTGTGATGTGTTATCTTTACCTGCACCCAGGACTTCCATCACGCCTGGCCATGGCCTCTTCTCCCTGGCCCAATCTCTGAAGAGTTTTGTCTCTATCAAGCTTTGAGAATGAATATGAGTTCTGTCTTGTGGACACATAGGTTCAGAGACACACATGCAGGCTGACCATGACAAGCATAAAGAAAGATAGATGGATATCCTCATGAATACACAGATAGGATACAAAACAGAGACAGGTGTAAATACATAGAACCACACAGAGACACAGACAAAGCAGGGCAGGGCACGTCGACAGAATAACAGATCCATAGAGTTAGACACACAAAACAGATACCCACAAAATAGTCAAAGGACCTGAAGAGACAGTTTTC